AGTTAAATGAAAAACATAGAACTCATAAGCATTGCCGACTTAACTAGAAGTGCACAGAAATAAGAATGTTTCAATAAACACAACAGGTTTTCAACCTTAGTTTGCACACTAGTGATAACTAAAAGGATCATTGTCGGTTGACTCTTGAAACTCTGAATATCAATACGACTTCCACTGACTTCTTGACATATAAGTTTTCTCTAAAGAAACATTCCTTGATGATCTAAAACAAATGTGCAAAAGTTTGTGCAGATTCACAACATGATAACACTCTTCAAAATTGGATTCAGTTCATCTTTTGTTTCTCGACTGCCGAAAAATATCATAATTCTAATTCTTAATGTGCTTGAGAGAGAGAAAAAATTCTTACTCCACCTATTACAAGGTGTTATCAACCTTCTTAGTTTGAAATTAATTTGAAGATATGATTTAGAGTTACTAGAGCATAGCTCAAAAACTCGATTGGGAATAAAGTATGATTCATCTTTTAATCGAACTATTTCCAATAATATTTGATTCCTCTTCTTAGTCATAAAATTGCACTAAGATGTTCTTTGAGGATCAATTGTGATATAATTCCACAATCACTAATATTATCATAAAACGTGCTACTAAAGTACTCTCCTTTCCTTTCAGATTGGATAATTTTTTATCTTTTTGCGTAATAGATTCTTCGATTCATTCTGCTACTCTTTGAATCTTTTCAAACTATTAGAATTATGCTTAATCTTATAAAAACAACCATATTTACTAAAGCATCAGCAAATAATGACGAATAGAGTTATCATCCCTTGCGATGGATATGAAGAGTTCATAACAACATGTACAAGATCCATTAATCCATCACTTGCCTCACATAACCATGTGACCAATGACTGTCATAATTTCTCCAATGAGCAAAACTCTCATGCATCATCCAATTCGAATTATATGACTCCAACTATCTGTCCAATTGAAATTTAGTGATGAGATTTCCTTTCACTTGGTCAAATTTGACAATACCACATGCACGATATTATAAGAATCACATCCACAATTAACATTGATATTATTAGAAACACATTCATTAATGTCATTGCAAGGAACTATAAGATAATAAAATTTTATTCTATTGATAAAAGAAAATTGGAACTTGTCCTTACAATGAATAAAAGAAAACTATGTTTCAAGACATCTCCGAAGAGTAATAGCAAACTATTAAAGTTATCCTAACTCCTTAGTGGTAGTTCAAAATTTTGACCATCGAATCATGCGAAAAAAGTCTATTTCTCACGATCAGATTTATCTTGCTTTGGTCAAGCTTCCTTTTTTCTCTTAGATCCTATAATACCATCAAAATGTGCTCATCACATCATGTATTAAGAGTCTATGAATAGGAACTTATAAAACAATGGAGTTAGATAATGGATGTACCTGAAGTAGAGTCACACAACTTGACTTTACTAGCTCTATGATCTTTTAGGTATTTGGGAAGCTTTGTTTCCAATGTCCCTTAAATTGGAAATAAAAACAAATGGACTCATTGGGGTCTATACAGAGAATGATCTCAGAATGATTCTTTCTCTTTACCGTACAATCAAATTGTTGTCGATCCCTTTCTATTGGGAAGAGAAACCTTTTCTTGATTACCATTGTCAATGTCCAATGAATTCTTGGGATTAGATCCTTCAAGCATTTTTGTTTTAGTTGTACTCTTAAGCATTTCTGCTTCTATAGTTATCAATATCTTGGTCAGATCAATTAGGGTCACATCGAGATTCCTCATATGAAAGTTTCCAATAAACTGACCATATGACTTAGGAAGCGAGATAAGAACCAAATCATTGGCTTGCTCCTTCGGAAATTCGATACCCATTCTTTCCTGTTTATCAATGTATGATTTCATTTTTAGAACATGCGCACACACAAAATTTCCATCTTTATGTTTACATGCCAATAGGGCTTGAGTAGTTTCATATCTTTCAACGTGATGTTAGGAGAGTCACAGAAGGAAGTGCAAGATTTGAAGAGAGATGATGTCCAGTTCTACCATTACTTAAGGAAGGGAAGACAATTTCACATTTACTTAAATGTGGAAGACAGTCTCTAGACATCTAAAAGTGGGAAAAGAAAGAATTCAATTTAGTTGATTTTAATCCTTAATTATTAACCCAAAATTTAAATTAAGGCTAGGATCCATATTTTCGATTTGAACTTTGAAGAGGGATGTCGTAATCAAATTTCGGATCTATTTTAGGTAGGTAAAGCTTTTACCAATTTCAATCTTATGAAACTCCTAGATCTTTTGATATTCATTTAATCTTATCAATGGCATGTTTAATCTCGGATTATGTTCTCACTTTTGTGACTGGGATGTCGAGGATTACAAACGAGATATGAATAATCATGCAAGCCCGCTTGACAACCTCGAGGTCGTTTATCAACAACAATAATTTTCGAGTTATGTCGTCATTTCAACTTTATAGTCCCACACTAATGTGTCGGTTAACCACACACGCTCTACTAACGACTCATAAAGAAACGGTGTGCATTTTCATGGATCAGCATACAATTTTACATTTTTCCTAAAGTAACTAGAGTGGAATTTTAAATGAAGGTTCTAGTACTTTATAGATTATATGTTTAATCTGATTGTGTCCTATCGAACCCGTTCAGTTAACGATGCTCCACCATACAGTAGAGCGGTGGGTGAAAAAGACACTCATTCAACGATCATTTTATAGACCATTTCTTTAGACCCTCTTTATAACATGACTTCGTGAATGAGACTTACTAGCGATTCGACTGACTTTATCTTATACATATAGTAATTAACTTTTAATAAATATATATAAGATGTATTTTAAAACTTTTCAAAATACTAGGTTTAAATATTAATTATCTAAATTAAACTTTTAACTAATTAATATTAAACCAATTATGATTTATCTTTATCCTTTAATTAAACAATTAATTAAATTAATTAAATCATTTAGGAATTAAATAATTATCTTTAATTAAACTGTTAATTAATTAATTCAAATTTAATCCCTACCTTCTAATTTTTGAAATTAGGGTTAAGGGTAACCAATTTTTAATTATTCAAATTTTGAGACAATTAAAATAATAATTAAAAAAAAACTAGAAACCCTAAGGGTTTTCCTAAGGCAATTTTTGAAAACAAGGGGAATGAGAAACCCTAGCAAAGTCGAAATTTTTAAGGGCTGGGGTTTATTTTCGATAAACCCTAATCTTTTGATCCATTCAAGTTATGCGCAATCAATAGAAAACAATTGCTCTGATACCACTGATGGGTTTTGTAGGTTACTAAAACATGTAAAACAGAAAATTTTAACTCTTAAGTTCACATGCAACCTACTTTAAATCTATGTTTTCTCTAATTAATACCCTAATTACCCTAAATATTTTGAAAATACAAAAAGGATTAGGGTTTACATAACTTAGATTTATTATAGCAAATAAAAATCTTATTCCTTTTTTGTTGGTCTTCAGAAAGCATCAAAGCAAGCACCAAAAATATGGTTGTCTCTAATGGCTCGTACCGAAAACCCTAGAAACTAGAAGACAAAAGTGTATAAATACTTATTCCGGAATAGAGCATAATCTGAGATTAATTGAATATTATCAATGGCATAATAATAACCAATTTTTATTATTATGGGTTAGATTACTCAATTTCCCTTTTAATTTGGTATTTGTTTAGATAGATGTGTATAAATACTTTTTTTTGAAGTTTTTTTTTCTTTTAATTAGTTATCATAATGAGAAAGCATGTAGACAGTGCCATTAAATCTTTTTGCATGATAAAAGGAATTCCTTTAATCACAATGTTTTTGCATTTTATAAACTTATAAAATATCACAGAAGTTCTCAATCCATACTACTTCTGGAAGCACCTAATCAATACTTTGCAAGATTATTTAATGTTTATTTAATCAATTTCCACCTAGTTGGTACGTAAAAAAAAAAAAAAAAAAAAAAAAAAAAAAAAAAAAAAAAAAAACTGATACCTAAATTAAATACTTATTTAGTGGTACTCATGCTTTTTTGGAGAAAAAAAATATTTTAAATATTATTCTTAATTGATTAAGGGTACTTTTCATCATCTTATGTGCAGCTTACAATGACAAATTTATAATGTGAACAGCTCAACATATATGATAATACACCTGCCAAAATAGGTTTAAGCTTGTGAAATGATATACTAACAACTTTATTTTGTTGGTTCTAAAAAGAATGATTTTTTAATAGATGAAATAAAACATTCCTTATGTAGCAAACCAAATTATTTTAAGGCAAGTACATTGCGGTATTTGCCCATTAATCGGGTTTTATTGAATAAGGCGTTATGCAGATATAGGAATGTGATGTGCAAAGCAGATCAAACATCATCATATGTTACTGTCACCCCACTTTGTAAATTAAAAAATCTTGTCTGCATATCGAATTTTTTCAAATTCTAGATTTTAAAAACATTTTGCCTAAGAATATTAGTTGAAGTATTTGTTTGATTTTTTTGTCAACAGGGTCTAATAACAGCCGTTATTGGCGCACAGACTTTCCCATCCATTCACGAACCAGATCATTGTTGAAAGCTCACATCACTTGTTCCAAAATAATATGGGCATTTGCCTTAGGTTCATTGTTGGCTTCATTTTTGCAGCACACTGCCATTTGTTCCAAAAAAAAAAAAAAAAAGCGAACGAATAGACGTTGTAGCAAAAAACGAGTATACAACATGAATAATGAAATATGTTAAAATTCCTTAGACAAATTGAGACGAGAACATGAATATAAAAGCCAAGAACACAAAATATGAAAGAATTAGAAAACAAAACTTACCAAGAACACAACACCAAGAGTATTCTATAGGTCTTGTACAAAAATAAATAAATAAATAAAAGGTGGGGTTAATTGGTCAGGTGTGTCTTCTGTCTAGTTATAAAAAGTAATGACCCGAAAAGCAGATAATGTAAAGAAAGACATAGTATAAGTATATAACCCTCCTCATTATTGCATCCCTGGCTTTGAATATGTGTTACTTGGTTGTGGCACAAATAAATACAAATTACATCACCCGAATAGACACACATTGTTGAAAAAAGCAGCACACATGAACATGAGATCTAAGTAAGAATGCAAAACCAAAACCAAAAAAGGATCCTACAACTACAACTACAACAAAGGGTAGTCGTTTTTGTATGTAACAAAAGACTCCTTTCTCCTCTTCTTGTCTTGTCAAAAAAATAAGCCCTTCTTTTTCACCTTTTTTTTCTCGGCAGCCTACAACAGTTTCAAAGACGTTAGAACCAACCTTTTTGGGACAAAAAATTACATTTGAATTTGATTATTTTATTTTATTTTTTTCCATTCTTTCCATAAAGGATGGGACCAACAAAATGAAATCTTATATTCTAATACTCTTCATACTGAATGTAATTTTATATTATCAACTCATAAAAATAAATATTTAATGGTAATAAACTAACTAATAAGTAATAATGACCAAAGCTTTCTGAGATCATTTGCTAAAGGCTCAAGTGAAGCCTTACCCTATTGATAAAGTATCTTAGGGTGAGCACAATGACATCCCTTGAACTGCATAATAAACCAAATGTTTGCTTAGAGACAATTGATAAATAGAGAAACAATAACAATAAACATCCAAGATTCTTCCTTGAAACAAACAAAAAACAAAAGTATTTGATCATGGCATGTTTGGAAGGAATTTAATTCCATGTTTGATGGAGACTACTCTAAATTTTACAGCCTCCACTCCATTAAGTTCTATTCAGATAAATTAGTAATGCGTGATCATGTATTACTTCTTTATGAATGAATGATTGGTAGACCTCCCTAAGCAGACAAACATAAATAGCAACGTACTTTCATGTATGTAATATACTTTCTAATACAGCATTGTAATTTCATTTTTTTTTTTAATATCAAACAATCTAGCATTGTAAGTTGAGTTTTCTCTTTTCAGGAAGGACATCAATCATTAATTATACTAAAAGAAAACGAAAAATCTACCCAACTATATTTGGAAAGCAGAGTGTTGTAAAAGGAAAAGATATAACACCACCTTATAGTATCTGATTCTTGCTCCACCCGAAGCCGTTGCTCAACACCTCCCAAACCAATAATGGAAAACTCTACAGGATTTCCACACGGAATATGAACCTGAAAATGTCAATTAAATTGGATTAAAAGAAACTGAATTATCATTTTTGGGGAGAAAAGCATATAATATAATAGTACCCTTGTGTTGGGAGAAAACTTTTCATTGACGGGAGTAGTACCACCTTTTATGTTAATTCCATCTTTTCTGATGACTAATGTAACTGGCTCCCATATCTCAAGGAATCCTGTCTGCACATTAACAAATTAAGGGAAAAAATCACATTATTTCTAATATTAAAAAATAGCAAATAGCAACCTACTTACTTCTATTCATTTTCATTTTTTTTACTTTGAAAATAGCAACCTAATTATAGATAGCATTTCAGATTTGATTTTTTTTTTTCCTACTATTAGTGTTTGGGCTGACATTTCTATAATTAGGTAGATTTTTCAAAGTAGAATGTGATAGTAGGAAGAAATTAAGGTAGGATGCTAAAGTGAATGAAAGTAGGTTGCCATTTCATGCATATGTAGCAAAAAAGGTTGAACAAACAAACAAACAAAAAATTGAAATATATTTTTCCCATCAAGAGCAGTTTGGATAAAATATTTCTAGTCCTTCTTTTCGCAGAGTAAGTTAAGTCAAAATAAGTAAGCCAACAACAAATTACAAACAGCACAGCAGTATAGACTATAGAGGGCAGGCATACCCATAAAGACAATCGGTGTTCAGCATGACCAGTCTGAAGAGCTTTTCTGATATTGTCATGCATATCAGGATCTGTAAGAATAAGGAAAATCTCAGTTTAGATTAGAAACCTTGTATCAAAAGATGAATTAGAAAAAGCTTGCTTACCACAGACAATTTTTCTGTGCTCATTGGCGAAAACCTTTACAAGTTCACCCTGAAAATGGAATTGAAACAGAGTCATAACTCATAACTCATAATACCAGGTCAAGATAAAAGGTTATACATTGATTATTATAATATAATAGTGTTTGTTGTTGTTAACAACATGGGGCTGGAGTTGGAGTATTTTCGATGATGAGGATTGATTACAAGGACATTTAGAAGGAGTGAGTTGGTTGTATCCCACCTTTTGGGCTAAACGCAGTACGTACAAGCGTCCGGTCCTTTATGCCATCAAACAGTCTGCCAATTGTTCCTTCCTAATCCTAATCCTAACTTCATATTTTCTATTTGGATTGTAAGCATATATGATATATTTAAGTAAGTTTTCTGTATCTGCATCCATATTTCCAATATAAAGACATATACATGTCAATGCCACTAAATAATATAAGGATGGATATCAATTGTATCGTAAGTCCAGTATGCTTTTCGGATTTAAAACAACTGCATGTCCATCACATACAACTACTACTATACAATAAAGGAGTAAATGTAAAAAATAGCAATGCACTTTCATTTATTTCTACTACCGGTCCACACTATTAGTTTCCTGACAAGCCATTGTACTTTGATAAATCTACCCAATTGTAACTGTTTTCTTATCTCCCTAATTATGGCACTGAATGTTGTTTCGTACACTGTTTTGCTTTTGTATGATAAAGTAAAATGTTACATGTAATAAAGAGTAAGATGCTATAATAAACAAATAAAAGCTACAACAATCTGGGGGTATGATGCATGCGGATATACCATTTTGTTGGCAACAATTACAAGTATCAAGAATGAAAAGCAATAATAATAATAATAATAATAATAATAATCAAGTGTTGGTTAAGAGAGAAAATACATTACCTTTCGTTTTCTGTTATCCATGGGCTGGACTTCAATGGCAAGGTATGTATCAACATCATCAGCGGTAACAAGATAATTTGGCTGCTTTGCACCTACTTGATAATTTTCCCCATCAAAATATATTTTATAAAAAATAAATAAGAGCTTAAGGAGGAATACCTTCTATATAACTAACAGATCCATCTTCCATATGCCGCACCCACTGCCAAATAAATAAATAAGGCTATAAAGGCATGCTACAACTAGAAGAAATGCATAACTCTCAACTTCTTCAAGTAAAACATGCAAGAAATATCAATCTACTTTTATTTATTTGTGCAGAAAAATAGCAATTGATTTGTTTATTAATTATTATTATTAAAGCGTGCTCCTTGATAGCATTCTATTTCAAAATACATTGATGTCATCCAGAAACAAAGCAATTTTCACTGGGTAGATTTGTCAAAAGTATAAAAGCAAAATGCCTGAAAAAGAAAAATAACGAGACTACAGAAAGAAAAAAATGAGAATATTGCCATTTTTTACATGTATAATATATTTGGACACATTTATACTATAATTAGGACACTGCTACCAATTAATAGCAGGGAAAATTAAAGTAGTATGTTATAATAAACAAAGAAATGAAAGTAGGTTATTTAATAATTGGAAATTGAAAGTAAGTTTACCTCAAAATTACAACTTGTAGTTCCATTGAGGGAGTATCCGCTAGCTTGAAGTTCTCGACCTGGAAAAGCATCGCCTGAAATTTGGAGGGACTCCACTGCAGGTAATGGATCATCATCTGCAGCTGAACACCTTAATATTAATAATTATACTGAAAAGAAAAAACAAGGCTAAATGTTTTCCATTTCCTTGGGTGTTAAAAATAAAATATATTATACTTTTCAACAAGACTTTATACCAATTAAATGATTACAACAGGACAGGGCAAATTGTTTTGAATTTGGATTGGAATTGGATGACCTTGCTTTTAACTAGAAAGTCGGTCGTAATAGAAAGAAATGAAACATCATAAATGCAGAAAATAACAACATACATACTTTTGTTTATTTGATAGCATCCTACTTCCATTTCTTTCTAATGCTATTAACTTTTTTCTTATTACTTTGAAGTTTATGTCGTGATGCTATATTTCTTGCATTCATGATTTGAGCCAATATAAAATAAAATGTGTGTGGCTGTGGCTTACCTTCAGAGTATGAAGAATCAGGTTTTTCAGGCACTGGAGCTAAATATGGAGAATATGAGTGGGGCTGGGGCTGGGGATCTTCAAGGGGGGTCTTGGAATTCCAATTGACAAATGCTTCTCCTCCTCCCTCATTATCATCAACATCATTATTACTGCTAACAGGGTCGCTAAATGTAACTTGTTTGTTGCTGGTTTCCTCATTTTTACTACTTGTCGTTGTTGTATTGTTTCTGCACAAGTCAAACCAATTGGATTCCAATCAGAAACAATCATAATCTGCCATGGCTTTCGTTCAAACTCTTTATATATTATTATATTTATTACTTTTGTGAATACATTAAATTATTGAGGGTCTTAATAAATAAATAAATAAATAAATTTTGACGGAACTGAGTTCCATCCATCCGGAAACCAAACACACCATGGGTATGGGTATGATCAAATGGAGCAACAAAAGTGAAGATCCTATAATTATAGAGGTCATGTGCATTCATCATAACTCTCCCCAAGTTGTTAGTGCAAAACACTTCTCTGTCAATTAATTATTGATTGGGTTGACTGACTTGACTTGAGAGAGTTCTAGTTTGTAAACTTGACCAAATGGGAAATACTTTATAACTAATTGTGTTGTTGAGTGAAATGAAATCTGAGTTGTAACTGTAACCTGTTTAGAAGAGGTGAATACCTCCCTGAATCAGGCTCTGAAGTTTCTGCAACTCCATCCCACCCTCTTGGAGTTGGATGGTCTGATGAAACTGGTATTTGTCCATCAGAGTATGCTTGTTGTGTAACCAATTCAAGCCCATTTTTGTTCTATATAAACAATACAATAATTATAACATAATCATGAGTCATGACCAAATTAAATTGATATTATGTACATACCCCCCCAAAAGAATACAACGGTGATTGTGCAAAACTTGAATCAGAACGCCAGGCTGCTAGCTGATATTGAGATTCTTTTAGCTTTGTCTGCAGCCAAACAAGTTTGCAAGTCAAGCATAATAGCTGTATAATTACAGACCATCTACTTTAAAAGCAACACAGTCCCATTAACATACATGATACAAATATGTATGTAAGCTGAAACTTGTAAAACTCGTGAAATCTTATTTTTTATCCATAATAGAAACAAACTTATCCTTCTTTACACATAATAGCAGCCTACTTTACCAATAATAGCCCTCACATTTGTGGCAAAATATAAGTACATTGCTATTATGGATAGGACGTATAAGTGAGTTGCTACAATGAGTAAAAATAAAGTGCATCGATAAAAAAAAAAAAAAAAAAAAAAATGTAGGTACACTGTTATTAAGTTTTAACCATATTAACAAGCACAGCATACCTCAATTCCTATGAGCTTCTCCTGCAAATGCCTAAAAAGAACCTATCAACAGAAAAATTTCCAACAATCATATATCAAGGAAGAGAATGTTTAAACAAATAAAGATAATTAATCACACTCCTTGGATGTTAATCTAAAAAAAACGCAGTTGGATATTAGATATCTGAAAATAATAGGGACAGTTGAAAATCTAGTTACTATCAATCTCTTAAATTAGATATCTCAACTCTTGAGGGTGTATGCTAGTTTCCATTTCTTCTATCATCATCTTCACTTTAATGTACTAATCCCTAAGACAGTGGTTGGTATGATGAATGAATGCAATGATTCATTCCCTTGAAAAAAAACTTGTTTCCTTTGTCTAATGAATGTGAGTTCATTCTTTAGCCAAGAGCTGTTTTATTTTTCGTTCCATCATTGAATGGAATAAAAAAAACTGCAATACAACCCACTTACATTTATTTAACTTTTAATGACAAGTCCTTTTTAGAAATTTCTAAGATTTTAAATAAATTGAAACTGTATTCTACAATTTTCAATAAATTCTATTGTAATCTCAGTTTGGTTTTAATGAGATTTTTAATCATCTTATTATGTTTATTTTTTTATGTTTGTGTATAATTATTTTTTCATTTAATCAAATCATGAATTGGGTAGAGTTATAACTACACATCATATCTACATATGATATAAAAAAATCATACGAAAAGTTCATTTCATTCCTCCTAGAGAGCAAACAAACATGATCATGCAAGGTAGTGACTTATTCCATTAACTTGCTTATTTCATTCCTCCATCCGTTCCATTCTGTCCAACCAAAAAGGCTGTAACCTCAGAATGTGACTTACAAATGCTGTTGATTGGTTGATAAAGGGACTTTGGTTGTATTCCTATTTATCTCCCATTCCAAATAAGGACCAATATTGTAGTTACTAAAAGACATAAAAAAAAACTATATATATATATATATATATATATATATATATATATAAAGTTCAAACCTTAACATTACTAACGATGGACTGGGCATCAGCAACTGGTGGCTGAAGAGAATACTCCGCAAGAAGAGGCATCAAAGATGATATAAATGTTGTTCTTTCTTCTTGTGCATCCTGCAAACAACATAATGCAATCTTTTTAGATACATTCTATGTATAACTTTACAAAATCCAACAGACAGATTTAAACATAATGCTGACATATAATGAGAATATATATTTTGCATAGAACCAAAACGCAATCTTATCTTATGCTTGAATAAATCATAAATAATAATCATTTCAAAAGAGACGCCACTTCATTCATTGCAAATATACTTGGGAATGCAGTGCACAAGTAAAAATAAAAAAAGGGTTAATGCAAGAAATAGCAACATACTTTCATTGATTTGTTTATTACAGCATCCTAAGTTCATATCTTCCTATCACAACATTATACTTTGAAAAACCTACCAAATTACAACAATGTCATCCAAAAACAAAGCAATTTCCGCACTGCGATTGGATAGGTTTCAAGAAGTATAATAGGAAAAAAAAAATGGGAAGTACAATAACTAGGGGTGTTTGGGATTGCTTATTTAAGGTGCTTATTAGCTTATTGCGGTTCAACACCGCTAATAAGCAGTTTTTAGTGTTTGGCTAGATTAAATTAAAAGTGCTTATTGACTTGAATAAAGAGTTTTTGATAAGTTAGTGGGTTCTAACTTATCTAAAATAGCTTATGACTTATTTAAACCATTTTACCACATTAAGCCTATTGTAACTATATATATATATATATATATATATATATATATATATATATATATATATATATTCGGCCCTTATCAGTCATTTTACATCTATAAGCAGAAATTGCCAAACATTAAAAAACAACTTATGAGCACATTAGGTTTTGATAGCGGATAAGCATAAGTTGTTTTAAATAAGCAGTCCCATACACCCCACAGGTAAATTTTTCAAAATAAGAAAAATGTTAAGGTAGAATGTTTTAATAGAGAGAAAGTACATTGGTAGTTGTTGCAAGTAAAGTAATACCTGCAATGCATAGGTTAGGCGTATATTTTCTTCAATAATGTCTTGTCTGTAAGAGAGAGCTTTAGATGCTGCATCAACCAGATCCTGCTGCTGCTGATCGAAAGCCTAACCATCATAAAATTTTATTTATTTAGTACATACATACATACATACATGCTGAAATAACTCATCAGAGGAGAGGACCATAAGTGAAAACACATTGCTCACCAGACGCATATAAGCAATTCGTTTCTCAAGAGCAAACTTCTCATTGTGTATTTGGGCTTCCTGTCAACAATAGCATAGCAGATCTATTACTATTATTACTCCATGTCATTAAAGTAAAACCAAAAAAAAAAAAAACAGTCAGTTCATTCATAAAAACATACCACAATCAGCCCATTACCTTAATTGAATAGTCAACAAGATGCTTTCTCAACAGCAAAATCTCTTGCTCCTGATCTCGACTGTCAACAACGGCCTACATGCATAAATTATAAATATATATATGTGATGTGATGCGATGTGATGTGAATACAGCATATACTTTTAACTCTATTATTATACTTTATTTAGTAAAGTATTTATATTATAATGAATATGATTTTCAGAAACCAAAACTACAATTTAACTAAAATCGTGAAATTTAAAAAATAACAATAAAGTGGGTCATATTACAATTTTTCATTTCATTCCATAATGGCTATAGACAAAACAAACATTTTCTTTTTTCCTCCAAGTTTTGCACGATAACTATATCCAACAGCTATTTTTTATGCCTTTTTCCCATATAACAAAATATGAAGGTTATCACCACTACTTGCAAAATGCCATAACAAACATAAACCATGGGTGTAACTGTAAACATCATATCCAATTGAGGAAATGAAATTTTTGAATTGAAAGACATGCATTTCTGTAATTCAATGATACTAACAAAAATATAAAATATACCTGGTTTATGGAGCTGCCTGCATTCTTTACCTCAGAAATTGGCACCAGCCCAGACACATTGAACTGCGGATCATATTCTCCTTCCAGTTGATACCTAACAGCATGTGTGTGTAAATTTGTTCTTTTCGATTTAGCTAAAAGTACAATCCAAAATACCTCAAAGGAGAAAAGCCCCCATTTATATTTTGAGTCTCCAACTGGCTCTCCCTTGAAACTTGAATCATTGGATCTACAGCATTCCCCATGTAATCTTTTTTGAGGACTAGTGTGGATCCATCTGTTGGACTCATGGCTCTATTTTTTGTTGGAGGTAGATACCTATGATCACTCCAATCATCCTCAGCCTTTGTATCACTCGATTTCTGCCACAAAAAAAAAAAAAAAAAAAAAAAAAAAAAAAAAAAAAAACTCATTCTCCAAAGTATGCCTTGCCAAATAACGACACAAACAAATGCATTAAAAGTTGAATGGATTCTTTTTATAGTCCCATTATGATGTCTGTCTGGATTAACTATAAGGTTTCTTCTGTCCTACTCCTAGACTCAATAAATGACCTTTTTAACCCTTACATTCCAACACAATTTTCACAGCATTCATCAACTTTAACTTGACGAGAGTTGAGAGGAAAAAAGAAGGCCAAATAGATAAAGAGCTGGCGTCTTAATACATTAATCCAGGTTCTTTGGCTTTATTCTGTCCAGATTAAGCGAAAAGAAACAGCCATTAAGATTTAAGCCCATCAAGTCCAAAAGGAACAGCCCTTTAGTGTAAGGAATCTAGTTGACTGAAATTTGAGCTATCAAATGATGAGAAAAGAGGCATATTCCAATTAAAACTTTGCCAAAAGGAGAATGGTGCATTAAATAGAGAACAATTGTTATATTTATTTATAATTAAAATGAAAATCAGATTACAAATAACAGCCTCCATCTCCATGTAGGTTGATTGGTTTGTGTGACTCGCTTTCAGGCAAAATGTGAAATCAACTTTGGAATCCCCATTCATCTAATATGACCCAAAAGTATTTGCACTGTTCAATTTTCAATTTTGCTGCTCAATCATTAAAGTAGATGGCTATTATAAAAAATGATAGGCCCTTTTAATCCATCAATAATTCATCTGACCGGTGTCATCCTGGTTTCCTTCAAATTCGATACAGCATACCCTATAAACCATGGTGAATTATATATTTATGATGCAAAAGAAGTCAATTAGTGACATTTAAGTACTACTAAAACTAAAACTATGGCATTTAAACTACCACAACTCCTATTTGCAATTGTAATACATGATTGAAACACACAGATTACGACATTTAAAACCTGAATACATAGTAACTATCTGCTGCATAAAGACTAAACTATTGATGCGCCCAATTTACGTAGAGATTACAAGTACTCAACCAAGAGCAACGTCTCATGGATGATAATTAGTCAGTCAAGTGCTATGTTATTAACAAGGTGATTTAACTAAAGACTAGGGAGAAGATTTTATGACAACTGGTAAAAATAATGAGGCTGCATGTTAAGAGAGAGAGAGAGAGAGAGAGAGAGAGAGAGAGAGAACAAATACATAGTTTTCAAGTTCCTGAATCTTCTTTTGTAGCTCAGACCTCAATCTATGATTCTCTTCCACCTGTCAATAGAGAAATTATACAGAAAATCAATATTAGATGTATAATAATATTACAAAAAACATAGTGTTAAAAGTTAATACTTAATGTAATCGACTTTCTTCTCTCTCGTCATTTTAATTCCTTAATCAATATGGATTCTTCTTTTATAATGTTTTCATTCATTACAGAAAGATAAAACCATATATGCAGTATGCACAAGAAGGTTCAGTCAATATCCACAACCATTTACAAACTCGGATTAATGATCTATTATTATCAGATTGTATTGCTAGTATCTGCTTTCACGGTTTGTGTCTCCGTAAAGTACTTACATTTTACCCTTGCCTCACTTCACTTTCAACTTTATTGCTTGTATCTGTTTTTTTATTTGGTCACACTCACACTCACACACCACTCTTTGTGGGCAATCAGTTTTTCCTTATGTCATCAATGCCCCATCAATAGTTAACACATTTCTGATCCTTACAAGAAGAACAATATCATTTTGGTAGTGCATTTGGTAAGAATTGGAATCTCGAATTCCATTATGTGGCTTGTTTGGTTGCCAAACCAACCAAATTGAATGCCATTCTTCATTTTTTTTTTTCATTTCAAGACCAATTCGTTCTTCCTTACATAATTTGAGGGTCCTACAAACCAAGCAGAAAATGACAGATTGAATTTCATTCACTTGACAGATTAAAGTTCCTTCGTATTCCAATTCCTTTGACAGATTCCATTCCATTCCTTCCAAAATATTCTGTGAACCCCATCAGCATCATGTCAAGAACTAAAACCAATAAGATAAAGAAAGTCACCACAATACGCTATAACCTTCCTCCTCTATTTTAGGTTTTGTATGCTTATACGTTTGGGTTAGAGCTTAACCCAGATTGTGGAAGACAACAAGCCCTAAAATGACACAAAATCCTCTCATTTTTTAGGGAATGGCAAATAATTGCCAAAAGATAAGAGAAAAACTACACTCCCAAAGTATTGGTCAACTAAATTCAGATAAATGTAACCATGGATTTAATGCAATAAAGGCGTAGAGATATTGAATCAAAAAAAAAAAAAATACCTGTTGTTTGATGGTGGCCTCAGCAGCTTCAACGGCTTTCATAACCTGAAACAATCCATCAGTCTTGTTCATGCCATTAGTGTTGGTGTAGCCATTAACACTAGAGCCAATAGTCAAGGCAGACAGCTGTTGTGTCAAATTGCCTCCTCCATTTTCCATCTTCAGTTTGGTAATTCTATTTCTAACTGATGACTGATCTGCAATGCAATAGCAAGTAAGTTCCAACGATATGTTATCATTAAAATAATGAAAAATATATCACCTTTAATCCGCTGATATACTGCGTATACAACGGATACGACTAAACACCTGATGCTTCAAGGGACGCCATTTCTTGAACCAAGACCCAAGCATGACCGTTTTCACCCACAAAAACTGAAAACCATAGTAGCCTGTAGCCACCCATTCATTAAACGCCTCTGCTTTATCCGAGTTTCTGGCAACTGCCTCTCTATCTATGCTGGATCCTACAAATGACGGCTGCAGCTGGATGATTTGAAGCAGGGTCAACTTACAAAAATTATACTCATAAGGCGGCATGTAAACAACATTAATTAATACAAATTAGCAAACCTTACAGTATTCAGATTCAGATATTCAGAAATCAAATTAGCATTTAATAAAGTAGCAAACTGTACAGTTCAAGATCAGAAATCGGAGCAAATATTCCGGTTCAATCAGAATTTGGATTACCAAAAACATTACAATATTTGGTTTTCAGAATCAGAAATAAAACTTCAGTCTATGAAATATGAGCTAGTGTGTCTTTCGTGTTTAAAGTCTGTATGTCTATGAAATTTAACCAAGCTCGGAAAACTAACGAGATTATGAGGGGGGTGGGGGTGTACTTCCTTCTGATGTATGTTTGGTGGGCTTTCACACTGGGTTTATACATGAATCTTTGGTGTTTCAAATTCTGGGATATATTGTCTAATACACTATTAAAGTTTGGTTGTTCCCAAAGTGCATTTGTTTTTCAAATAATCGATACAGACTAACTACTCAACCAAAATGATGCTGGTTAATTCACATCTCTGCATTCAGTTAGTTCAAAGTTTGAGATCTTCTTGCCCTAATTTGATAATCTAATATAAACAAATGAGTAATTTGTTTCAAAAAATCTGATTCAAACCAACTAATAATCAGTGTAGAAAGTATAAACAAATGAAGCTTGAGCTGTTTCAGAGGAAAAAAGAATAAGATTTTGCATAACAGTATGTCCAGAACGAAATATTTAGAACGGTACCTAAAACTTGATTTCAAAGTATTGACCTGATTTGCCAAAGTTACCCTAGGTTTAGCGTCTGTCTTTGAACTCGATTTTCAGAAGTCTTGGACTCAATTTTGCAGGAAACGCGGTTTGCCAAAGTAACCCAACTTGGAAGTTCGAACTACTCGATGAATATTAGAGGCCGAAGGACATAGAAATCGGATGAAAGTTGTGAAATTTGGGGTTTTAACGGAACCAAATCACCAGACTCCCTTGACTTGGAACTTTGGATTGTAAATCCCTAAACCAAAAACTTGTTAATGATTCCATCCCTCGGATGAATCGCGTACTAAAACCCATGTTTTTAAGGGTAACGATATCTATGAAAATATAGAAACAAAGAAGGAACTAAAAAACATTTGTTTATTTTTATTTCATTTGGTTTAACTTTAGATATTGTATATAAAATTAGATAAGTAGTCTATGAATGGTATCTTTGGGTTAGCTGTTTTATCTCAAAAATGATTTTTAAGAAAAATGTTTATTAGTTTATGGCTTTTAGGAAAAAGTAATTTTAAAAAATGTTTGGATGAGAAAAGTTGTTTTTTCAGGAGTAAAATGGCTTATTAGTTTAGTTTTTTTATCTCAAAAATGGTTTTTAAGAAAAATGTTTATTAGTTTAATGAAGTCTTAAACTTGAATCTCATATATCTAAACAAAACTAATACAAATGTATAGGATTAATATTTTTATGTATTTATTTGATATAATTATAACATATTATATAATAATGGGCTAATGCTACAAAATATTCTATGGTTTTGATTTAGGAGTATGATAGTGAGTGTGTTTGTTAACTGTTCTAAAAAAATTAATTAAAAAATTCGGCCAAAAAAATAATATAGAAAAGTGAGAGGGAAATATGTCAAAACTCATCAAATAAGTATAATAGACAAACTAAAAAAATTATTTTGTATACAGTTTGTTAAATGATATGATATTTTTTTCTACAAATAAAAAAAATTATTATTATGTTAAAAGATTCTTCTTAGCCATGTATTATCCATGTCACCAAAAAATATCAAATTAACATCAAACTTTTTATTAGCGGTAATAATAACATTTTCTATAAACAAAATATTAAGTTTAATGATATAATATATATCTAAGATAAAGTTTAATTATATCTTTTAGACAAAAATAAAATTTTGCATTTCTTTTAGGTTATATTCGCTCAAAAGATAATAGATTAAATAACATTTTTTAGTATATACATGTATACTTTCTTTTTCCGTGTAGTCAAGAAGTACCTTATATATTTGGTCTTGAAGATTATAACCATTTTAAAGTTGAGTTTATTTTGAAAAAAAAACATTTTAGGTCTAAAATGGAAACAACTATAAAATATAGGGTCTTTTATGAAACAAAAATACCTCATTTACCTATTGGTGACCTGGTAGGTCTGAAATAACAAGTAACACATAAAAGTTGGGTCTTTTTCGAAAAAGAAAAAAAATTAAGTCTAAAAAGAAAAAAAGTCAAAATATAGGGTCTTTTATGGAAATAACTCATAAACTAAAAAGCTAGGATTTTTCAGCTTTTTGAAAGTTTTACTTTTTTCTATCTAAAAAGTTGTTTTAAAAAGCGTTTGTTAAATACACAAACACTTTTTTAGCTTATTAGCTTTTTGAAAAGCTAATAAGCTTTTTTGAAAAACTATCCCAAACGCCCACGAAATGTCACAAACTTAGTTTCTGGTACATTTTTTTAATATAGCAACTTTCTAAAACATGTATGGTTGGTCCTTTAAGCCTATGAAATAACTTTAAAAAGACAAAACTGTAAAAATGGTCCCTGTAGTATGCATTTTTTTCCGAGTTTCCGTCCAAACATCGATCAAATACAGCCAAGTCAGATGCTCCGGAGCGTGTGAAAAGCAAATTCATCAATCAGCTCCAATGGTACCTGGAAGTTCAGAATTGGCTCTACAGAGCTTATGTGTTTATCAAATAAGAAGCCAACTAAGCTGACAAGATTGTTAAGTTCACTTAGGGGAGATTGTTGAATCATGAAAAGTGAACCTCTAGCAATCACTCAAGATCTGAGGTCAGCTGAGTCTGAGATAAGTTCAAGATGAATAGATGTTCCGATATGAAGATCATTCCGAGATGTAGGCTAATTCTGAGATTAGATGTCTGTTCTTGCATTTAATGTATTTTGTCTTTATTAGTGATGTAACAGTTCATAGGACATTTCTTTATGTATCTTATGGATATCAGTTTGTCAGAGACTGAGTTTTATACAGTCCTAGGAATGTTACTTGGTTTGTATTATGTTCCTCCTTCGCTATTTAAGGAGTGAAAGTTTTATCCATTAATGCAGACGTGAACCATTCAAGTTTTACACTAAGAATAGCAAATATTCTCATCACGTCATTTTCTCTTGTCCTTCAAGTCAAAGTTCTTTCACAACGTTCTTATTGTTTCTCAAATACCTTTTGCATTGATTATACTCTAAGTTTACTTCATTTATTATCTTGAATACTTTGTTGAATATTTTCTTCAAGTCCTAACTGGTATTACCATATTCGACTGGAACTTTTATTAAGAGCAGACGTTGATCTTAAAGATTAATTCAAGGTTTGAGTTTTCAAACCTTGTCCTTGCGCATTGATTATTGTTCTCACAATTAGTATCAGAGCTTGAGTGGTTGTCCTTTGAATCCATAAGAACAGATTATAGTTAATTTGAAATTACCTTGGTATTTCAATCATTTTTGTGTTCAGGATGGCTGAAACGTCTGGGTTGATGACTTCATGAACAGTATCACAACATAATGTAAAATAGTTATAACATCCATAAAAATTCAAGCCAATTTAAAACATTTAAAACCATTAAGTTATTACAGTTTGTTTTCAAAATAGTTTAAACATCACAGTATCCCCAGAAGCAAATCATAAAATCATGAAATATGAGGAGTTGTACGATCACGTCATCGCCTTCCCACGATCATCAGAAGTACTTGAAACAATAATAGATAAATGTAAGATCGAAGGCTTAGTGAGTTACCCCCAAAATACCAACGCCATACAATCATAACCATATCATATAACTGAACACAGCATGTATAATGAGCCATCAGCCTGACTGGTCCGCCTCGCAGGGCCATCAGTCTATCTGGACCGCTCTCCGAGCCATCGACACGTCTGGACCGCCCTCTCGGGGCCTTCAGCCTATCCGGACCGCTCGTCGGGCCTTCTGCCTGACTGGTTTGCCCTGCCTGGGCCTACAGTCTATCCGGTCCGCCCTGGGTATCTTGGCCTGCAGCACACAGCATGACATGCCTCAACCCAATCCCCCAAACCAACAAACATGTGCACATAAATATCATACGCTAGCTAGCATATACAGATAATCATACAGATCTAACGGATCACTAACATGGCAACCATCCTATAACCAGGATACAGATCTAACCGATCTCTAACATAGCAACCATCCTATAACCAGAATACCGACCTACCATGTCACTAAGAATATCACCATCCTAACTACCAGGATGTAAATCAGTAAGCATAACATGCAATAAACCTGGATACAAATCCGATAAGGGCCGACATTGGTGCCTTAGACCCCGTTGATATAGTGAGGACAACTCACCTCGCAAGTAGCTCGAAGTGATAAAGTCAAACTCCTCCAAATGCAGCTCCAAGTCCAACACCTACAACCACTGGTGATCCTTTTCCATAAATTCCCAATTACCAAATGCTCTCATAAGTCAACTGGTCAACCCTTGGTCAATGTCAAAGTTAATGGTCAAGGTCAATAGTCCATGTTGACCAGACTCGTTGATAGGCTATACTTTTGTGCTTTGGGCTAGGCATTCTAATGTATAGGTCTTGGTAGGATGTTAGAGTGTGTTGTGGTGGTTGTGGTTTGTTAGTGGGTGTGTGCGGTTATACACGTGTCTGCGGCCACACACGCTGTGTGTGGCTGTACACGTGTGTGCGGCTGCACACTTGTGTGCGACCATACACGTGTGTGCGGCCGCACACTTGTGTGCTGCTTCATGTAGTATAAATAGGCTGTGTCAGTGTGTCAGAAAAGAGTGACGTATGTGTGTGTGTTTCCCAAGATGTACCTGACATTTATACGTAATAGATGTGTGCATGCTTGGCTTTATTCTCCTTCTACTCCTTCTACACTATGTTTTATTGTTTGGATTTCATTGATCACTGATTTGGATCTATAGATCAGGGACTTACAATTGGTATCAGAGCTAATTCAGTGTCAATTTGAAGAATCATAAGAGTGTGCGGTTGAGAATAGTT